TTTTGTCTTCCCCATGATGAACATGAATAAACGTTCGAAAGAAACTTGTGAAAGACAAAACCATTTATTAAACGACGATTCTCTAACTGATTTAAAGATTGTAAAGAAATAATCAATGTGTTTTAACTTTAGTTGTAAGATAGTTTAAATTTAAAATTAGTTTACATCGTTGATGTTTAAGGGAGAGAACAAATGACTGTAGGATAAAAATTATTTATGCTACTGTTCAATATTACTCAAAAAGCAAATAAAAATAAAGCAAATCAAGAAAATTAAAATAAGCATTGTACCGAGTTCTTTCCCTTAGAATCGCAAAGTTTTCTTGTCGAAACTTTACATTGACAGTTTTGTCACACACCATTTTTCCTTTTTAATTTTCTACTGCTATCATTATACTTAATAAAATCATTATTATAAAATTATATTATTATACTTATTTATACGAATCTCATAAAAAAAATTTGTTTCTCTAATATTATGACAATGTTTATGTCTCACATATTCTTTTCCTGCTAATCAACGCGGAAAAAAGAGAGTGAAAAATAAAATAATGTCCGTTTAAAAGAAACTATCAATTTTTTTTGTAAAAATCTATCTTTAACGAAGCAAAAAAATATCAATTTTGGTATTTCAAATTTGAGTTTATACCTTTCTCCAACTATTTATAAATAAAAATTAATTACCTCATTTGAACGTTAACTTTAAAATTAATGAGCATATATCTAGTCATATCAAATTTTTTTTACTAAAGATAATTTAGTACAAATAAATTCCCAAAATAGTTTTTATTAGACTTTCGACGATGATAAGCCGTAAAAGTGCGTCAACTCGTTTCTCTTCTTGCCATCGTTATTAGCAGGCACCGTATAGAAAAAAGAAAAAGAAACGAAAATCAAAACGTTAATGATGCATGACGATTGCATGACAAAAATGGAAAAAAATACGTGCTATCGAATATGAAGTTAAGAGAGGTGTGAAAAAGCAAACATACTTTTCGCCCATGCGTGGCTTGACCCCCATCCTTCTCCGTCCTCGCGCGGACGGACACGTACATATTTTTTATCGGAAAATTCGAGCGCGCCGTGAATCCCGAAATCCCGAGGATCCTGAGTTATGATTGACACCGGGATGCACCAGGTATCGCATATCGGGACGCTGTCCCGAACCGCGCCAACGAATCCTTCGTTCGGGATCTACGAAATGATAAATCCAGAACCGAGGAAAACCCAACAAAACTGTCGCTCATAAACTGTCATTATTTCTCGATCCGTCTTTCCCGCGATTGACGTCTGATGATTGCTCGAGATGTCCTCGAACGACGATCTACGTGATTCTACGGATTTCGGAAGTAGTTCAGCATTAAAAGAACAATTTTATTGATTTAAAAATTATTTATCTAAAAATTTAACTAGCTACAGCTCTGGAAATAATTATGTTGTATCAAAATAATTATATTGGACGCTCAAACTGATTGCTAGAATGTCAAAACTTTTTGCAACATTATCATTTGAACATTCTATATAATTATTTTCACGGTCTAATATAATTATTTTCAGATCTGTATTTGTCTAATATATACTTCAGCAAAACTTTTATTCATATGACAGAATGCGTAAACTTTCAAGTTTTTTTTTAATATCTAATAATAACGGAAAAAATTTGTAAAAATTTTAGTTTATATACAGAAAGTTTTAGCGAGTTTAATAATAATACAATTTTTATTATATAATTATTATATCATAATTATTATTTTTATCGAAACGATTTTTGAGGTGAGATAAGGATTTGTAAAAATCGCAAAATTCCTAAACTGAATCTTAACAGCTCAATCTATTTTAATAAATTATTTTAAGTAATCGCTCTATAATTAGCTTCATCTTTCGCAACCTTGTACACAAATCAATCGTGCATCGATGATGTAGCAGAAGCCAAAAGTGCGTTTTAACAACAAGATAGCATTTGGTATTTTGCGAAATAATATATTTTCTGGAATAATTTCACTTGTGCCAATATTAGCTTGATCTGCGTTTTAACTCGAGCAACCCTTACAAAAATATTTCACCGTTTTTACTCCTCATATGGTCCGTTTTTAGCCCATTTTTAGCTCGTTCAATCACTTTTGTGCTTGTTTTTTGTATTTTCTGTCCGTTTCTTGCACTCTCGAACACGCTCAGTCTATTAAACGAAAGAACATGACGAGTATACGCGAGTTTGCAGTACGTATTTTTGAGCAAATTGCTTGTTTTCTAAACTCATTTTCTAGCTGTCTATGAACCGAAGAAACATGACGAGTATGCACGAGTATGCAAAAAGTATTTTTGAGTAAATTGCCCGTTTTTAATACTCATTTTCTGGGTGATGAGTGACAATACGTTATAACGTTTTTCTTTTACTCAATTTCGTTTCAATACGCAAAGAAGCACGTTAAAGAGTCATATACATTAACTGAATGATTATTAATTACATTTCTTAATTAATCTCGTCAATTTCAAATTAAACAATCAAAAAGATATTATGCTTTAATATTTTTTCAATATTTTGTATAATTTTAAAATTATAATTAAATTTAATAATTTAATTTAATGTATAAATTTAATTAAAATAAAACTTCTACATAGCATAATTACTTATTATTGTATATATAACATATGTATTATATATATATATATATATATATATATATATATGTATATATACAGGGTGTCCCATAATAACCCCACCAGATAATAATCCCACACCAGATTTCGTGGGCAGGTAGAGCAGATAAAACTGAACAGAAAAGTCCTCTACCATTTTGCAAAATTCGCAATCGTTAACGAGATATTAATTTTTGAAGATCGGCGAATAAACGCGTAT